CGAGGGAATCCAGGGCAAAAGCTGCTTTATTTGCCCACCTCCTGCACCTGGGCATCTTTTTTTTCCTCCCGCAGGACCAAAAGGCATCAGTTACCACAGGATGGGTCAGGGTCATGCACTGCAGAAAATGTATAAACAAAAAGATTTAGGGAATTCAGTGAAGTGGATAATAGGAGAAGAATGTCTTCAGGTTGAATGATTTTGTCCCTCTCACCCCCCTCTTGGGTATTTCCCCCACATCAGATACCAAAAATAAAGCCAAAAGCCAAAATATCCACGTCTGCCATCCCTCTCCAGAAATGAGCCTTTCTTAGATCATTGCAGATCACTTTGTTCCTCTGCAGTAAAGAAGAAGCACGAGGCAGAAGGAAAATGGGGGGAAGAGAGGAAGGAGAAGAACCTGTTGAAAATGATGCCAATTTCCCTTCCCTCCAAGAGTGAGGATGAAAACAGCGATCACAACTCCATCAAACACCTCAGCTCACACCAGACAGACTCCCCCAGCCACCTCCCACTGTCCCCATCACCAGTTTTATCCCAGGCACTGATCTGATCATCATTCTTCACATGAATTCCCCCTAGGGAAGGAAAGGGCTTTATTCCCCTCCTTATTCCCACCCAGCAACAAATAAATAACCTCAGCTGAAGGCCTAAGACAATTTTCTTTTCTCAAAGGAGCCTTTTCTGTCTGGACAGCAAGAGCACGAAAAAAAAAAGTTGTTGTGGCATATGCCAGCCAATAAATTCTGTCCCTGGGTGTCTTCATGTATTCCCATTGTGTGATCTGGGTGATGTTATCTGTGGGAAACAAAGAGTCTGAATATTTCATAGAGCTCTTACAATGTAAAGAGCACCATGAATGTCTGAGGTAAAATATGTTCCCAGCTCAGAACCCCCTACAAAAGGAGGAGAACATCAAGGAAGGGAGCATTTCTCTGTTTCCTTCAGCCTGTATTTCATATTAATGGCCCAGCTCCTTGGTGTGATTATGACATAGAGCTCCTTGCATTTATTTCCCTGTTCTAAAACCTGCTTGTAAAAATATTCTGTGTGCAGGTGTGTTCCTCTGGGGGCTAAAACAAAGAGTTGGCAGCTAATTGGGAAATTCTTCAGGCATCTCACACTCTTCCACTGCATTTGTCTTTCTAGGAATCGTATGTAGATAAAATGTGGAAAGGGAAAACAGAGCAGAATTCCATTTACTCCAGAACCATCCTTTGTATTTTAAAAATGTCCTGTCTCAGAAAGAGAACTGATCCAGCAAACTGAACAGGACCAGGACTGGATGTGCTGGCACCTGGGAATCATTTCCCAAACCCTCCCCATTTTCTCAGTTGGTTGCAACACTTGCTGAGCAATAGAAAGGCCAAAGTGATTGAATTAATAAAATGTTCAGACACTGCTAGAAAATGATGTAACATAAACCACACATAAAGCCTTGTTAAAAAAAGGGAATATATTTTCCTTCTCTATGGTTCAAAGATGGTTTTCCCTTTTTATTTAGTGGCAAAAGAGCTTGTGAAAAGTTCAAAGCTACCTCGGTGCCTTTTCAAAAATACTTTTGCCACCAAGTTCTTTTGAGCAGAATTTTTCTGGGCTCTGCAGTTTTTTGGCTTGTGCAGCCCAAATTGCTCACAGCACAGAGGATCCAACAGACAGAGCAGATTTCTACACTGGGTGAACAGAGGTGAGCTCTATCAACAGCATCTACATCACTGAGGAGTGAAAGAAAGGAAAAAAGAGAGGGGTTTTCCCCTTAGTTTCACCAAAAAAAAAAAAAAAAAAAAAAAAAAAAAAAAAAAAAAAAAAAAACAAAATAAAAAAAAAAAATAAACCAGATTAAAAAAAAGTAACAATCCTGCTCTTGTTCATAAAGAAATCACTGAGAATAAAATAAATATTTTATTCTCAGAAAGTAACTTCTTTCTTTTGTCCTTACTACGTGTGGCTATAAAGTTTTCTTTAGATTCTAGATTCTTTTAGATTTCTAAAGAAATCTATAAAGCTTTCTGGCACAATCAGCCTTTGTGATGTACAAAGTTCCTGCAAAGCAAGTGCAGGATGTGGGTGTGGATCCTCACCTTGTGCAGCAGGGGAGGATTGTGCCCTCCCCAAAATCAGTGAGGCTGCTGGAAGTGCAGAGGATCAGAAAGTCAGCTCTAACCTTACAGAGCAGCCCAGTGCAGGGCTGGGGTTCTTTGAAACCAACCAAACATAAACACCCTTAAAAAGTGAAGTGTCTCCTGGGCTGGTGCTCCTCAGCAGGAAAATGCTGTGGCAGGACATGGAAGGCAGAAGGAAAAGGAATTTTATTTTCCAGCCTGGCTGATCCTCTCTCTTCTGGGAGCAGCTGCACAGCTGAGCTGGGACAGCACAATAAAAATTAGGGCAGACCTGGTAGCTCAAGTTGGGTCTAAACCCTGCAGTTTGTTCTTATTTAAATGTTTAAGTGTGACCTGCCTGGCCCCAGAGGCCACCTCTGAGTGATCACAGCAGCTCCACTTAAACCTCCCCTTCCCCCAGCAAAATAATTAATTGGCAATTCTGGTTTTAGAAGCTTTTCCATCAAAATGTATCCCTTCAGTGAATAACTCCTCAGTCTCTCCAGCTCAAGTTTAAATAAGCATTAATGACTCTGAAGAAATCAGAAATGTTTTGCTGAGGGGCAATTAAAGCAATATTGAGATAGCTCAGGATTATTGCTGGGTGCTGAAGCAGCCTTTAAAGCTCATGTGTTCACAAATTAAAGAAGTTAAATACTTCATTCAGAAATTATACTGACACCTTTAATGCCATTTTTCTTCTGTCTCAGTAGCAACATTTCTTTTACATTACAGATATATCCATGGGCAGGGGGAGATGGCAGATTTGACCAATTTTATACAAAATACCAATGCTCCCATCTGAAATAAACTCTTAGGACAAGTGACCTCTTTATAACATCATGCACACTATGACCTGCAGTTCCAGGTGGCTTAGATATACATATATTTATATACACACATTTGGGGGTACAGCAGTAACACATTTTGATCGGCCATCACAACTTTTTAAGATTTTTCAGCAATGTGAATAATTCACCTTCTTGCCAGGTCCTTCCACTTCCTCCCCAGCTGCAGTGCTCAGTACAGAAACAAAACTGTGTAAAAAAATCACCTCCTAGCTGACTTACATGAGTGCAAAGTATCCACAACCCTCCTGAAACTGCCCAAAATCTCCTGTGTGGTGGGTGAAGAAATCAGGAATTTGGGCACAAAGCTGTGCCACCAATCCCCTGATATCCTCAGGAGGAGCAGCAAGCAGCCTCGGATCAGATTTCCAATCAGTGGAATGCCAACAGGACACACTGCACTCGGCCAGCAAGGGAAGGAATTGGAGACAGATCCCAAAAGCAGCAAATCCCAGCCCAAAGTGGCTTCCAGGGAAGATCCCAGGTTGCTGCAGATGCTTCCACCCACACGCATTTTCAAGTGCACAGAAGTTTTTCATTCAGAACCACATCCTTCATGATATGCAAGGCACAAAGATCCAACAATTCAGTGTATTTGGGGCACGGGGGATGAAGGTTTTGTTAGCAGCTCATGTGAAAATAATTTTATTGAGTATTAAATGTTGAGTATTGAATATATCAAGCTGATGGCACTGGAGTTTGATGCTGATGGCAGAACCTAAAGCAGAGGTTTCATCCAAAATCCTTTGGAATCAATGTGATTCTTAACACCAACTTCAGTGAGGCCAGGATTTCTGCCTAAATTCTATTTTTAAATTAAATGCATAGGTTATTTCTAGATCACTCTGATTGCTAACTAACTCATGGCATCTTTTCTGCCTCCTGGGATATTTTCTGTGAATCCCAAAAGCTTCCATTTTGCATATAATAATTATATCCAATAAAAAAATAGTATGAAGCAATTCCCAAAATCCAAAGGTCAAAAATTCAGCTAATATATGTTAATCTTTATTATGGAACAATGAGATAATAAATAAGTTTATGAATTCACATGACCTGTACAAAAAGCTGGGAAGCTTTTGTACCAAGTTAGGTACCAGTTATTTGCCTTTCATATTTGTTAAACAAATAATCTAAAATTTTATACACCTGTGGAGTTAAGGCAAAACCAGAAAAGACCTTTAACACAACAGAAGGGTTGGAAAATACACAGAAATACAAACAAGGGGGATCTCATCTCCAGCTGACAAAGTGGTTGTGTCTAAGGAAGGAATCCCTCAGGAGCTGAATGAAGCAGTAATTATCAATCAAGTTAATTAAATTGAAGAACGAGTGTGAGGTGTCCTGCAGGGCACAGCTGTTTAGCAAAGCTGCACCTGCATGCCCACCTTTAACCCTGTATGGTTGGAATCTGCTTTTCCTGTTAGGAATCAGCACGTGGAAAAGAGGAACCCTTTCCATACCCAACCAGAACACATCCATGACCCCTCAGTTCATGGAGGCTGGACTTGGCTGGGACTGAGCTGAAATATTTGGGAGAACCATCCAACACACAACACGCAGAGGAGAGCTCAAGCCAGCCACTCAGGATGTGAATGACCTCTCTAAGACAGTGGGATGGATGGTGGCAGTGCAGGCCCAGGACAGAAACATGACCAATATTTCAATATATCAACACACAGCTCTTTGGCAGCAACACGCTAACTCTTGCTTGGAGTCTGAACGCAAACTCTCCTACATGAAAGACTCAGTGCCAGTCTTTTCACAGTTAAAGGAAATCCACTTCTTCCCCAAATCCAGGAAGTGAAGTTGGCATAAATCTTGCAGGCAGCTTTAGGCTGAAACCTTAAGCGTCGATATTTATTGTCTGCTTTAGTCTCAGGCCAAAGATATCGGACACACAAAATTCTGTGGAACTTCTGAGTAGTTCAGATGGGGCCAGAATCCATGGAGAGAATCCAAAACCACCCATGAGAAAGAAATTAGGAACCAGCACTCCATGATGGCAAAACGATCTTCACGGAGCAGGGGCAAGGATGAGTCCACACCTGGATGAACGCCACGGGAAAATTGACTTTACAGGGGGAAGACCAGGAAGCCAGAGAATGTGGAGTACTGCCACCCACCAACCAGATTTCCTTTCTCCAGCTTCAGGTAAACCTTGTCCTCCTTGTCCAGGTACAGCAGGACCCCGTTGGTGGCGGCTTCACGGGTGACGTCCTTGTCCCCAGCGAAAGCAGAGATCACTGGCTTCCCATTCAGCATCAAATTCACCTGCAAGAGAGCCCCTGAGAAGCTCTAATTAACTGCAAACCATCAAGAACTACCCCTGAATATTAACCACAGTGCAAGGGCCCAATCTTTGGTGTTTTTGGGTTGTTTTAAAGTAATAATGACATTTATTTGGCACAAGCACGTGGATGTTCATGAGTTGGGCCTGCAGATGAGTGAGGCATCACTTCAGTTGGTACAACTTTGCCTGTCTCAAGGTTGTTTAGTCACACAGGAAAAAGAAATGTACATTTTAAAGAAATTTGGGCACCCAGAGATGTTACATGAGGTGTCAGAAACACCACAGTGGGCTGGGAGCTCACACTTCACTGGGAACAAAATGTGTGTCCCTCTCAATACTTAGCTCTGGAGTTTAGAACAGATTTTTAGCTTTATAAACTGTCTCCATTTTTTCCATAAAACACTTCTGAAGCCAGCACTGCCTCTGCTCAGAAAGCAGCATCTTTAAATAAAGATGGGCAGGGCCTGGGGGTATGGGCAGGGCCTGGGGGAATGGGCAGATCCAGGCATTTTTTCATTTCCCCCATGACAAGCTCTCAGCTTTGCTGCTTTTCCTTTCCAAGCAGCTCTACTGCAGTCACAGGGGGTGAATTATGGGATGCTTACCCACATGCACTGTGCTGGCCGTGCATATGGTCCCATTAATTTTAATGGGAGTCACCACAGAATAAATTAGTGCTCAGCAGAAAGTCAGGGCAGCAGAGGCTGGTATTTATTTGGGATTCACCTGTCTGGGAAAACCACTTAATCAGGTGTCTCCAGGGAAACAACTGCAGTTTAATGGTATTTAATGGCTCTAACAGATGTTGTGGGGGCAGAGCAGCATCACTTGTGTGGGGAGCCTGCAGGTGATTTAGTGGGGCTGGCTGTGGCTGAGGCTCACACCAGTTTGATCCACTGCAATGGTTTCTGGTTCTCCTCCCCGTTTACCCCACAGGAAAAGGGCACCAGGGCTTTACTCATTGCCTGGCTTGGGTTTCTCACTCTTTCTGTTCCATCAGGTTCCACTGGAATAATCTGACAGGAGTTTAATCACAGAAGGCACATGACAGGTTTGCAGGGGATGGTCTCACACTCACTGCTCTAAAAACCATCCATCACTTCAGAACCTCTTATCCATGAAAGATTTCAGGCCATGACCCACAGGCTGGAACATTCCCTGCCACGAGCCCCAGACTCCCAGGCTTGAGCTCCTGGTTTGTGAAATTCCAGAGCCTGAGCTGGACTTCCAGAAGCCAAGGCTTGGCATCTTTCTTGGCAATGGGCGTTTTAAATCCACTGGAGGGGCTGACATAGTTATTCAACCTTCAGCATGCCCGAGAGTGAAAAGAACACTTTTTGAGCACATTAAACAGATTAAAAGCTCATTGTAGAGATCTTTGTGAGGTCAGTGTTTCATTTAAGGCTTCGTCATTGACCTGATTGGAATTAGGATTTTCCAGTGTGCACTGAAGGGGGATTTCCCCAGAGATGGGGTCGTGGTTTCACCAGCTCTGCCAGGAGCTCCACCAGCAGCCCAGAGAGGCACAGAGAGATCCCTGAGCACTGCTCCTGCAGAAATCCAGCTCAGCTCAGCCTGGCACGCCTCAAACCCACCCAGGAGAGCAGAGAGCAGGAAGAGCTCAGACTTTCAGTGGACCTGGAGCTCTCCTGGCTGGAAACCAGGGGAGCCACAGAGGTTCCTCCAGGGAAGCCAGGAGGTGTCACAGCAGCTGCGTGACCTGGCAGGGAGATGAAGGAATTACTTTAGGAATTTGCTGTTGGCTCAGCAAGGGGATGTTCAGGAATTTAAAGGCTTTTCCCTCTTGTGTTTAATCAGGCAGCTCTGTAGCTATTAAGCTACAGAAGGGAGTGCAGAATTACCCCTTTTCTCTAATACATCACACACTTTTTATACATTACATGATGAAAAAAAGGAGTTTAAATTGCTGTAAAGGTTCCCTAGAAGACATTGCTACAAGGATATAACCAACCTTGGTCCTCAGCACACTGAGGGCATAACCAGGTACCTGGCACCAGATGCCAGGGCACAAATTGTTCTAAAACCACTCAAATCTGGTACCCAGTGCTCCACACTGTGAGTTTAACCTGGAGCAAACACGACTCTTCAACAGCATGTCAGGGAAATTCTGAGCTCTCTTTTACTCTTGGATCATTCATTCTATGGAATGCTTTATGTCACCTCAGATATTCATGGCATGGAAGTGAAGTTGTGGTGATTTATCTGAGGTGAGGATCCTGCCTTATTTCTGTTCATTTTAAATTAATGGGCTCTACTGCTAGGTAGTCAACACCACAGGTTGCTGTAAACGAAGCTATTTTTCCTTAAAATCATATTAAATGCTCCCGTGCTCAGTCAATAGTCTATCCTAAATAAACCATTTAAATAAAGATTTTATAATCATACTCATCAACATACCTGAATTGTTTGACTCTGGTAGACTTTAATTACGTGAAAATTGAAACTGTAAATTCCTTTCCGTGGTGATACAAAGACAGACTCCAACGTGAAAAAATTGCCCACATTTACAAGGATCTACAAACAGAAAAATACAGCACGGGGATTAGTACAGGTAGTGAGTGCTAAAGAAAAATACAGATTATTTACTTTAGAAACCATTTGCCCATGGAAAATTTAATCTATATCTAAGCTGGTTTATTCATTTTCTCTCTATTACTTTGGAATAACTCATTAAATTGCTATTTAGTTTTATTTATAGGACAACAGATAAGCTAAGATAGGAATTATTTCTTACTTTGCTACTACACCATACCCTCAAGTCCTTTCTTCCACACATGTTTTTAAAGAGGCATTTTTGTTCATCATTCTCCAAAATGACATAAAACCATCAGTTCTGGGAGTGGCACGTGGATTTTGGCTGAAGAGCAGTGGCCAAGCCAACGCTGCCTTCCCAAGGAGCCAGGTGTGAGCAAGGACTGCAGGAACAGCAGGAGGCAAACGCAGCTCTCAGCCAGGCTGAGTTACTGGAGCACCTGGCCGCGAGAATCAGCTGTTTGCACCAGCACTAATAATAATTAGGGTTTAATTAAACAGAGAGAAGTGACAGAGGGGAATGTACCAGATGAGTGCATCACCCATATGCTACATATCCTCTGTAATGACTGCATTTTGCTCTTACCACCTAATTATGCTTCATTTTTAATTGACATTTCCAGGCTCCTTTGTGGCAGGCAGAGCCCTCGGAAGCCTCCAGGACTGTCCATGGAGTTTTGGGGTGATTTTCGGTGCCAGCACTAAGCTGTGGGGCACACCTGGCTCCAGCTGCCGCCACAACCGACTGCTCAGCACAGCAGGGTGTGGGGACAAGAAGAGACATCAGTCTCAATGACTTCGGGAGCTGGGATTGAAACGCGTGTTGATATCTGCCCGCTAACACCGGAGCTGGGCTGAGCGGAGCTGGACCGCCAAATGTGCCGCGAAAGTTACAGGGCTTTCCCTTACAATTCTCTCTTCTTCCCCCCTCAAAAGCTTCACAAACCATGTAAACCCAACACTGAGATCGCCCCAAACCCCTCGGGGCGATGTCACCGCGCTGATGCCACCCGCGGCACCTCCCGCGCTCCGCCCGCGCGTCTCCCGGGGCCGCAGCCGCGGAGGGGCCGGGTTCCGCACCCGGGGGGCAAACGGGGAACCTGTGCAGCCCCAGGCTTAGCTCGCCCTGCCCTGCCCCTCTCCCGGGGGCGGATTCCCAGCTCCCGGCCGGGATGCGGGATGCGGGATGCGGGATGCGGGATGCGGGATGCGGGCACCTGTTGCTGCGGGGGATGCTCGCCCAGCCCGCGGTGCCTGGGGCGCGGCGCTCACCTGGTCGAAGTAGATGATGCGCGTCTTGTTGCTCATCTCGGAGGGCTCGTGGTTGGTGCTCCGCACGGCCGAGAAAGCCACCTTGGAGTTGGCCGCCCGCACGGAGATGCCCAGCGGCGAGGAGGACGAGCCCTTGGAGTCGGGGGCCGGGTTGGAGTCGCACACCACCAGGCACTTGCCCTCCAGCACGATGGGCTCCGTGTCGTTCTGCGCCGTGGCCACGCGGCCGCCCAGCGCCAGGGCCAGCAGCAGCAGCCGCCAGCCCATGGTCCGCACCGCGCCCCGCTCCGGCCACCGCTCCTCTCTGCTCTGCTCCTCCCGCTGCCACCGCTTTATGCCTTCTTCTTCTTTTTTTTCTTTTTTTTTTTTTTTTTTTTTTTTTTTTTTTTTTTTTTCTCTCCCCGGCTCCTCTGGCGAGCTCTTTAAACCACGCCGCCAAAAGCCGCCCGGAGAAACGCGCTCTGTCCAGAACGCCCTTTTCTCCCCTCGCTCCACATCAAAAAAAAAAAAAAAAGAGCGTGCGAAAGGGAGGTGGGGTGAAGAAAAGCCCTCAGGTGAATTATTGCTGAGAGAGAGAAGCGAGAGGCGGCGGAGCAATGAGCCCGTCTGGCGCTGCCATGCCGGCGATTCCAGCTGCGGATCCGGGATGCTCGGAGCGGAGAGTGGGAGCTTCCCAAAGCTGCCAGATCCTGTTCTGATATCAGCGGCAGAGCTGCACACTCCCCTTCTCTCCCTCCCTCTCCCTCCCTCTCTCTCTGTGTCCCTGTTCCCCCGCTCTCCCGTCACCAATCCCCCCCTCCGCAGGCTGAGCTCACAGCGAACCTGCCCGCTTCTCACCTAGCGAGGTTTCAGCCCCAGATCCCAGCCCCTGGGAATCGCCCCCTCCTCTCGCACGCTCCTGTCTTCCCTGGCAACTTCTGGGGCGGCTGCACAGCCCGAGGGAGCGCCAGAACATCGCAGCGCCCCGATTTCAGGAGGAGGAGGAGGAGGAGGAGGGTGGGAAAGAGCTGCAGCCTCCCTGAGAGGCAGCACCTGAACCTGCCCGAGTCCCCCGGGGCACGGGGCTGCCGGGCAGGTGTTAGTGTGCACAGCTGGGCAGGTGTTGGTGTTCACAGCTGGGCAGGTGTTCACAGCTGGGCAGGTGTGTGCAGCTGGGGCTGGGGCAGGCACCCGATGTGAGCTTTGCTCAAATCACACCTGAGACCAGCGGCAGGGCTGTCCTGCTGCCCTGTGGAGGATTAACGGGGCCAGTGCCCCACACGGCGCTGCCAATGCTCAGGGTGGGATTTAACACCTCTGTCTAACACAGATTGATTTTTATGGTGTGTGTTGGGAGGATTGGGAGACTGAGCAGCATGCTCTCCCATGAATTTGGAGATTATTAAAAACATGAGTGGCTTGGTGCTGGTGGTGGCTTCTAGACAAGATCTTTCTTGCATCCCCCAGCCCCATTTGAAATAATCTCATGGTGAAACCTAAACTCCTTTAGGGACTGGCAGAAATGGCATAGAGCTCCCAGAAGCACAACTGGCTGCACAGATTTCCATCCTAACCAAAAAAACACCAAGGGTTTGTAATAAATTGAGGGAATTTAATCTAATTTTAGATAGATGCCTTTCAGTACAGAAATTTTTTGTGCCTGTAAGAGCTTTGCAATTAATATATCCTGGGTCAGCCATTAGCCAGCAGCAGCCTCCATTCCCTGCCTGGCCAAAGCATCTCTGGGTGCAGACAGAAGAAATTAAAGAAGCAACAGGAAAGAAAGAGGAGGAATAAAAACACCAAAGTCCACTCTCAGCTGAACACCAAAGCTTTCTGTAGGCAAAGGTGAGTGGTTTTCAGCTGGTGTGGAGAGCTGAGGGTGCAGCATTAATTCTGCAGAACTCAGACAATCTTTGAGAAACCATAAAGCGGCCAAAATTCTTAGCAAGCATCAAGCTCCCTAAAATTCAGGAGGCCAAACACAAATTTTAAGGAATCCCATTGATCAGGCAAGAGGCAAAGATATTTCTGTTTTCTAGGAATGCATCAATAGCCTCTTGCTCAGTGACACAATGAAGATGGATGGAAGGGTCCAGCAGGGAAGCAGCATTTACTGCAAGGAAAGGAAACAAAAAATCAAACAAATGCTTGCAGCACAGCTTTGTACCTCTTGTAGAAACTTGATCTGCAGATTTAAAGATTCACTCCTGTGCACACGAGGACTCTGACAAGACAAAGCTGTGGCAAAAATATTTATTGTAAATACAAATGTATAAATAGTTCCACACTATTTCAACATCTGCTTCAAACCTCTTCTGTCCATAACCTTTTAACACTGCACAAGTAGCAGCAAATATAATTCCATCTGCACAGAAATTTCAATTGGAACTTGAAACTGCTGATGATTTTGAAAGATCAATCATTTGTCAGAGATTAAAAACTTTACAATCATTTTAGAAACTGGGTTTTGATTTTGCTTTGCTGTGGACAATGACATCAGGTGTGTCTATAGATATTCTTCCTAAAATCCATTCTGACCCTGCTCTCTGCCAATTTGAAGCCATTCCCTGTGTGCTGTCCCTCCATCCCTTGGAAATCCTCTCTCTCCATCTTTCCTGCAGCTCCTTTAGGCTCTGCAAATCCACACACCCCAGAGCTTCTCCTGTCCAGGTGAACAATGCCAGCTGTGCCAGCAGAGCTGCTCCATCCCTCTGCCCACCCTGGAGCCTCCTCTGGGCTCTCCCAGCAGCTCCACCTCCTGGATGACTTCCACTGGAGTAATATGGGCTGGAATTCGGCCAGGGGCCCCACAGCTGGAGGAGTGCAGAGCTGGGGCTCTAACTTTCTCCACGTGCTGCTCCAAGAGACATCAGGGCTATCAACAATATCCCTAATCCACAAATCCACACCTGGGGAAGCAGCCTGGAGAGTCCCTACCACCAAAATACCTGATCCACATCAGAAAACACCTCTTTTTTTTCCCCACCCAAACAGAAGGAAGAGGGCTCCAAGGCTGTTTGCTGCAATCCTCGTTTGGGTGGCTGAGCTGGGCTTTAATTGCTGAGAAAATGAGGGAAGTTTGCTGTGGGAGAGGTGAGCTGAAAAGTGGAGATTGCATTTAATTCACAAGAAGCGAGGTTAATGATTGCTCTTACTTTATCTGACAAAGAATTCCTCAGTATTGATCCAGCTCCCTCTAACAGGGATTTTGTGTTTCTTCCTTTGAAAGAAAAATGAGTAAAATAAATAGCAACAGCACACAACAATGGAAATTCAGTCAGATTAGGCTCACAGCTTCTTTCCCTTTCTGGACACACACTGTGGAAGTCTGAAACTGCCTCCAGTTGGGAGAATTTTGCTGTTTCACAGGAGACTTCCAGCACTGAGGCAGATTTCTGACAGAGGGAAGAGCCACAGGATAAAACACCACGTTTGCATTTACATTTCCTTTTACCTCTCGCCTTGTAAACCTTCATTAAATACAATTTCTGCATCAATATTGCATGATACCTCCCAAATCTCTTCTGAAACAGAACATCCTGCTTTGTATAATTAGTCATTTGCCCTACAAAAGGGAGGAATAATCTGCCTCAGACTTCCTCTCGTGCCTGGAGGCCTTGGGAATCTTTCTAACCCCTCTGTGACAGAGCCCTTCTTCCTCTGCAGGCTTTTCTTCTTCAGCCTAATTATATTTCCCTTCTGTTTGCTGAGCCTGGAGAGGTTTTTGCAGGGAGCTGAGCACCCCCAGCCCCTCCAGGGTTCCCCCCCAGGTTCTGCACAGCACCGAGCCCACCCTAAGCAGGAGATGGGGCTGAGGGGGAGCAGGGGGGCTCCATCCCATAATAGCCATGGCAATCCCCACCTGTGCTCCCGGTCAGGCCATTCCTGTGCTCTGGCATCCCTTCAGGCTGGAATTGCAGCTGGCTGCAGTGTCCGTGTGCCTGCTGGCTCCTGGCTCTGTGCTGCTCAGTTTGTTGGGCAAGCCCAAGTTCACCTGCCCAGTGAGCCTGGTGGCTCTTAAAAACAGCCTGGAATGTTTCATAAAGGAAATTTCACTGCCTGGAATGTTTCATAAAGGAAATTTCACTCCATTTATAGGAGCATAAAATGTAAACGGATCCTGTAGGAGTAGAATGAAATCTTCAGCTGCACATATGACTGCAAGGAGTGGAAGGTTTTTGGTGTTTAATTCACTCTGGTGCAGACTCAAGCCTAGATTTTCCTTGCTTTATTTTAATCTAAAATCCAATTTTCCTTGGTTTTCTAAGTAAGTTTTTTCTGTAGTTTGCCTATTTTAATGCACCTCACCTCAGTCCATCCCATCTTCAGGAATTTTTGTAACTTCCTGCAGCAGCAGAACAGAGAAAACAATAAAACCCAATTGCCTACATGTATTTGTTGGGCTGCTTTAGTTTCCCTGACACTCTGTTATGATAAATCTGTGTTCTGATGGCCTCCTCAGGAAAGGGAATTTTCAAACTGCCTGTGAATTTCAGAGGTGATTAAGAAAATGAGTCAGCAGGATGCCTGCATGTGCAGAGGTAGCAGAGCTCAGATCTGCTGACAGCTCTGCCATCTGAGGTCTTCATTCAGCATTTTTCAGCAGCCAGACCTTCTCTCTGGCCAAAGCTGAGCACCAGCTGAAAACTGGGCTTGGAAACTCTCCCAGGCAGAATCTGCCAGTCCTTCCAGCAGCACCTACTCCTCGATGGAGGTCTGGGAATATTCCAGTTTTTCTGCTGCTCTGAGTCCAAGGCTCAGTCTGGGTTTGCATCAGTATAAAAGTGAGAGAAAATGTGACCCTGGAAGTTCCTCTTGCTCCCCCTGAGACCCCAGCTGTCAGCTGTTTGCAAATGTCATTAATCTTCACTAAACTATCCACAAATAGCTTGATATGTCTCGTATTTATGTTTATTCAAAATATTTCCAGGAAATATTTACACGTTTAACCTCCTGTAAAAAGAGAGGTCAGGTGGCTTAAGGCAAAAAACCAAGTACACACGTTAACTGCTTTTAAAGCAGGTATTTGCATTGAAAACTTGTAATAAAGCAAATTTTCATTTTTATTTACTATTGTATTTCCATTATATTTTTGCATGAATTCCAGCCCTTTGGGGAGGGTGTCAGCACAGCTTTCCTGCCTGCAGAAAGGGAGAGACAAATGCAGAAAAAGGATTTACAACACCTGAACCACAAAGCTTTGTGCGTTTTGGGCTGAGGAACTGCAGAGCTGCTGCTTGGAGAGCAGGGGCAGCACAGCAGGGCTGTCCTTGCACAGGGCAGGT